TTGGGGGGGTTGTAGTGCTGTGGGGAGCGGTGTGTAGGGCCTGGGGGGTCTCTGGGGGTTTGGAAGGTCCTAGGGGCTGGGTGGGAGGGTGGCAGGAGCTTAGGGGCTTCAGTGAGTCCAGGGGAGCCCACAGGGATGGGCATGGGGTGTCGGGGGGTGTGGGAATCAAAGATGGTCCCCAGCTCCCGCAGGGAGGCTGACCCTGGCCTTCCTCCTGTCCCCGCAGGTGGCTGGCGTGTCGCCTGGCCGTCACCTGGTGCCGGCAGAAGCTTCATGCAGAGCTGAAGATCGGCTCCTTCGGGTTCTTCTGGGCCCAAAATATCAGCCTCAAGTTCCAGCGGGAGCAGCAGACTGTGGTGGGTACCAGGGCAAGGGGTGGTCGCTTCCAGACATGGCAGCTGTGATCACTTCCAGGGTGGCAGAGAGTCCCTGGAGCCAAGCTCCTGTCTTGCAGCCCCGTAGCTGGTGCCAGGCTCTTTGTCCTGTGGCCAAAGTTGAGGTTTTTGGCTGCTCCCTGCATGACATCGGGCGTTGGGAGCAGAGTGGGAACATTGGGATGAGCATCACAAGGCAGAGACAGGTTGTTTCTTCTCTGACCTACCCGTGTGTCCTTGCAGGAGATTGACAACGTCTGGATCTCCAGTAAACTGAGCCGGGAGCTGCCGTACGTACCCCCACCCCACCTTCCTCCCTGCTCTCTTGGGGGGGGTCTGACTCATCCCTGGCCCTGCTGACTGTGATTTTCTGCCTTAACACCTTCTGCAGTCCCTATTTCCCCTCTGTGTGGCAGTGTCTTGGGGATGCCCTTGTGCTTGTCCTGCGTGTCCCCAAGGCTGGGGGCATCCCTGGTGATGGGGCTGGGTGTGCCACATGCGAGCTCTTGTAAGACTTGCCCACGCTGTTCTTCTGCAGGCGCTACTTTGAGCTCTGTTTTGGCGAGGTACGGATCCGCACAGATCTCCAGAAGGGCCCTGGGTTCCAACCATCCGTCCCGGAGGCTCCCAGAGAAGATGACAGAAATGAAAGCAGAGCTGACCTGGCTCTTAAACCCTCCCTGCTGAGGCTTCTTAGCCAGGTGAGGCGCTGACTCGGTGAGAGGCTGTGGGCTGCGCTGCTGTCGGACATTTCTCATGGTAGCACTTTCCCCACCAGCTCTTTTCCATTCACATGGACTCCATCAACATCATGGTTCTGCACGTGGCCACCTCAGAGTCTCTCTGGCATGTCCAGGCCAGCAAGACCCGTCTCCTCCTGAATGGCGACGGGAAGAGGTAACGCTGTGCTTGCTGCCCTGCTCTGCTTTCACAGCCTGACCCTGGGTCTCAGGGGGCAAGGAGGCTCCTCCAGCCCCAACCTGGTGTCTCACCTCTCTCCGTCCCACTCAGCAGCATCTCATGTCACCTGTGATGTGACCCATTAACCTCCCCCGAGGCTGGTCCTTTTTCCTTTCATGGGAAGCCTGAGTTGTGTGTTCTCCAGATTATGGATTGCTGCACTGTGCATGGAGTTAGGGTGTGCTCTGCTTTTGAGAGGACTTGGGGGAGGGACTTGGGGTCCCTGTGTCCCACAGAAAAGAGAGGGCAGGGGCTTGGTTTGGAGGCAGCAGGGCCCGCAGCCTCCATCTGTTCTCTGCTCTCCCCAGCCTGACCTGCGAGGTGAGCCTGACAAAGGTGAACAGCAAAGTGCTCCGGAGCAGCCAGCTGGTGAGTGCTGGGGAGAAGGGAGAAATTCAACACTTTGGGCACTGGGACACCCCAAGGACCTGTTTTAGCATGTCCCCGAGGCTGGGTGATGCTGCTTCACCCGCAGCGTCCACCCAGCAGGGAGCTGGGTGACTCCCTGTGCCCTCCTTGCCCGTGTCCCCCTTTACAGGATGACACCTGCCTGGCAGAGCTGGCCCTGGCCCTCTCCCTCTCGCTGGAGATCAGCAGCAAACGGCGGCTGGTGGGCGTCAGGCTGCGTGTCCGGACCCTGCAGGCAGAGCTGCACGAAGGACTCTTCTGCAGCCCACTGCTGCACCGTGTCACTGCCGGGGCCCGGTACGGCAGTGCCGGGGAACAGCCCAGCACAGGTGAGGGATGGGGACAGGGACAAGCTCTGGGCAAGGCAGGGACTTGCGCTGGAGCCAGAGGGATTTGTCTGTGCTGTCACTGCCGCCCAACTGCAGGGCGTGGGGGTCTGGGCAAGAGCTTTCCTGTGACTCTGAATGTCCCTCTGCAGGATCAGGGGAGCCCCTGAAGTCGCTGTCTCTGCTGAGCAGGGACACGCTGCAGCTCATCCCCAGGAGGGTGGAGGTGAAGATGGAGAACACCAGCGTGGTGCTGTCTATGAACAGCCAAAAGAGGTGAGGAGGAGGCTGTTTTAGCCCTGATCAGTGCTGGGGACAGGGACCTGGGGACAGCTGTGCCACTCCCTGCTCACCCCCTGCTCTGCCAGGACTGAGCTTGTTCTAGGGCCAGGCTCTTGGGGAAGGAGGAAAGCACGTGAGCTGGTTCTCCAGCAGGACAGCCTGATGGGATCCTCTGCTGGTGGGATGAGAGCGCTGGGCTGGGCTGGGCTGCAGCTGGGCATTGGCTGGTGTCTTTGTGCCAGCATGCTGGTCAGCTGGGGATGAGAGACGGGGAGATGGAGGACATGACAGTGCAGTTCCCTTCTGGCAGTGACTCCCTGCTTCTCACAGGCACCTCACCTGGAGCCTGAAGCTGCTGCAGTTTCTATATCAGCGTGAAGAGGAGCAGATCCCCCTGCGCAACTTCACGCCCACCTCAGACCTGGACCAAATGAGTGTAGACCTCCACCTGGAGGGTAAGCAGCCAGGAAGACAGCCGTGGGACAGGGCTGCCATCTCTGCCCTCCACCACCCCTCACTTTTGCTCCTCTCTCTCCCCAGATGGCCTTCTCCTGTCCCAGAGCCGCCAGCGCATCGTGTGCCTCAACTCCCTGAAGACCAGCATGCAGGTGAGGGAACACTGGGCACGGTCCTGTCCCCCAGGGGTGGCTGATTTGGCTCCTGGCACGAGCTTTTTGCCACCCGGCCCTCTCCCTGCTCTAGGTCACAGCCATTGACCTCTCAGCTGCTGTGCTGCTCAATACCTGCATCATCCACTACCGCCACCAAGAGTTTTCACACTGGCTGGGCCTGTTGGCACAGGAATACAGGTGCCAGGCGGTGCCTGTCCCCATCCAAGGGCACAAGGGAAGGTAAACTCAGCACAGCTGCTGTTATTGCAGCTTGTTTCCTCTCGCCTGCCCTGCTCTGGAAGGGTGCCCGGGCACCCAGCACCTTCTCTACCTTCTGCACAGCCCATGGGATGGGGAGGCTGACACAG